GACTTGAGAGCTTGTGCTATAGTCGACGGGAGACTTATCATGAGAAGGGCAAAAGCGAGGAGGATTCGTTGGCGCTTAGATGTGGGAACATCATCTTCGTCTTCAGGATCGTCGTCAGTTCGTGGACGTCTGCTTGTTGTGACTTCAAGAAATTCAGCTGTGTCCATGTCAACGGAAGAATCACCAGGAACAGGGATCGTAAAATCATCAGGAGCAGGGTGCTCTACTGGCGTTTCTTCTGGTGTGTCGTGACAAGGAGGGTGAGTACGAGGCGATGTTGGTGAACAACCATGTTGAATGTCATGTTGTACGCGCAGAGATGAGCGAGACGAAGGAGGCGGTGCAGCATCGTCTTGATGTTGCGGAGAGTCGTGTGTCGAAGCAGGTGAAGAAGACGAAACTGGCGAATGAGTGCTCGAAGGAGCAGCCGGTGGAGGCAAGGGAGTTGCGGTACTGGCAGCCGTTTGGACGTGAGGTGGAGTTGACACGTTATCGTCCTCTCGATATCGAGGAGGTGGTCTGCGAGTGCGTTGGGAGCGTCGCAATAGTGGAAGGCTCTTCATCCTCAGGTTTCGAGTGCGTTTCTTCAGGAGAATAAAGTGGTAGTGTCAACAACGTCAGGTACATCGGACTGAGACTCATGGAAGTACAGGCTCGTTTCATTGAAATCAACATTCCAGCTAAAAATGATCTTAGCGGGAGATGCGCAGTATAAACGGTAGCCTTTGACGTTTGGTTCATTACCAAGGTACATGGTACGAATGGTCTTCGAGGCAAACTTGGACCGATCATGCTGCTCAACATGAGTAAACGCTTCGCAGCCGAAAATGCGTAAGTTGGAGAGATCTGGTCGCTTGTTGAATAGGCGCTCGAAAGGCGTACCACCAGGGGTCGAGGACGAGTAAGTCCTGTTGCGAAGGTACGTCGCATGAGAGATTGCTTCAACCCAGAATCGGAGCGGGGCATTTGCATAGTGAAGCATAGCACGCGCGCTCTCGACCAAAGTGCGGTTCATGCGTTCGCTTACTCCATTTTGTTGAGGAGTGTGGGGAACAGTCTTCTCGTGGCGGATGCCGTTGTCAAGCAGGAATGTAGAGAAATTCGTCGAGACATATTCACCACCATTGTCAGAGCGAAGGCAACGCACTGGTTTGTCGAATTGAGTGCGGCAGTGTATGACAAAATCTTGAAAACAGCGGAAGGCTTCCGACTTTTGTTTGAGGAAGAAGACAAAAACGTAACGGGAGAAGTCATCCGTAAACGTAATGAAGTAGCGATTTCGACCGCATAGGGACGAATGCTTCATCGGACCACATATGTCGGAATGGACAAGTTCGAATGGTTCCGAGGTCGTCGAGATGGATTTTTGGGGAAAGGGCAAGCGCGATTGCTTCCCAGCGAGACAACTTGAGCAGAATTGATGACTGCAAGTTTTAATGTCGACTCCATCGGTGTATTGCTGCGTCTTCTTCGTGTGCTTGACACTGATTTGGCCGAGGCAAGCATGCCAAACATCGGCAGGTGTCGCAGACAGGGGGACATGATGGTGATGTAGATCACGTGAATCTGAGGTCTCAGACGGCAATTGATTCGCGATGTCGAGAAAGTAGAGGTTGTTGTGCCTGAAGCCTTGAGCGTACACACAACCATCGCGAGTGATAAGGCACTTGTTGTCAGAGAACGCGGTCGTGAAACCGTGATCAGTGACGCGAGACAAGGAGAACAAGTTGCATTGTATGGTAGGGATGTATATTACATCGCGCAACGTGACAGGAAGTGGGCCGTCGGGAGTATTCATTTCCAGTACAATAGTGCCACGACCTTCGACGCTCATATCGCCTCCGTTGGCAGCTCGGATCATGCCTGAGGAGGGGCGGAGGTCCTGAAACCAGGCGCGGTTGTTGCAGTAGTGGTCTGTAGCTCCAGAGTCGAGGATCCATGACGATACGAGATCCGACTGCTTGTCGAAAGTTTGGAGTGTGACGTGGGTGGGGAGAGCCATCATACTGACTTGCTGGTTGTTCGGCTTGGAGGGACGGCGAAGGTTGTTCACAGGTTGTTCTTGTTGAGTGTTGGAATTGCCCGGTTGTTGATTGGCATCCGGCGCGCTGTTGCCGGTATTCCGAGGATTCGGTTTGTTGCCATTCTGATTGTTGCGCAATGCAGTTCTTTTCTTGCGACAAACTCCTCTGTGTGGTTCTGAATGCCACAGTAAGCACAAGGTACTGGGCCATTGTCCTTGTTGCGGTTCCGTTGGTGATTGTTGGGATGTCGCCTGAAGTACAGGGAACGACGCTGAATAAGACCGCTACACCTATCTGTGATTGGTCCGAGGGCATGAGAGTATTGTCCAATCAGGGAAACTAACTTTGGAATTTCGACAAAATTAAATAAAAATTTTGAGCTCAGAATATACATTCTGCAAGGTTGTAATTACAAAAAGAATTATTCTCATACATTGGAGTTGATATGACGCCCTGTTCTTGCAGGTTATTAATCGTTAAAATAGATCATTCATTTCAAATCCCCATTGACCGGAGCGCCACAAAAGTGTGTCATTAACTTAGCTAGGGGACCCACAAAATGTGGCATGACCAGTCAAACGTTAAAAATTGAATACTTTATTCAAGTCAAAAATTGAAAAAAGTATACGGTATGGGTCAATGGAACTACAAGCCATAGGATACATCTTCCCCCCATTGTCTCCCCTTAGACTTGGTGGATAGGGAGCCGTGCAAAGCTCACTCCACGAATTCCGGTATGTCCGTATTGAACTTATGTGCAAAACAAGAGTACTGGTCATGTCAATTGGCCCCGAGTTCAATCCAAGTCAAGTCTTTTCTATTTCATACATAAAAAACAAGTTAAATATAATTTCTTGTAAAGTCAAACCAACACTCTGAAAACTACAAACGCTCTTCATTCACATTACATTGGCAACGCCTTGACGAAGCCGGCACGCACTTCAGCTTCAGTGTTCGAATCCCAAGCACGGATGTTTTCTCCGCCAAGAGCACAGCATTGAGGTTTTGTGCATGCTTTGGGCACTGTCGACGCTTTGGCGTTGCAACGTCCATGGGCAATGGTGGTGGATTGAGTGACAAGGTTATCAAAACGTACAGGGATGTTGGCTTGAAAATTGCCGGGAATATATTCAACCAATAGAATTCATCCATTTCATTAAATCACTTTTGATTGGATAATTCAAACAGGTATTCCCAGTTTTTTGGGCGGCCTTATTCAGCGTCGTTCCCTGTATTGAAAGCGGAGCCATCAGGAGTCTGTGAGGACGTCCTCATGTCGCGCTGAATGATTGCAGTGAACAGGCGGTCCAAGGTGTTGTCGATCTTGGCGCCATTTTGGAAAACATTGATTTGAAAGTTGATAACGTCGAGAAAGCGCTCATCAAGGCTGTTGAAGATGATGTGAACTTGGAAGCGTGGATCGATGGAAACACCAGCTTCAATTACATCGTCATATGCATCTTGAATCGGTCGCAGTACTTGCGAGCAGATTCGTTCTGACCGATGCGGAGGTTTAACAGTGCTTGGAAAAGGTGCGCTTCGCCCATAAAGGACTTGTTACCGTAGCGTTCACGAAGTCGTGATAACATCGCTCCAGCGTGACGGATTTTGAAGACCATGCGGACGTGGACATCGTCAAGGTCAGAGAGGATAATCGCTCGGTCAAGGCGATTCTTGGCGTAATAGTCGGCATGAGTTGGAGGCGTGGTGCCTTCGACAACCTCAGCGACGTCTTTGATTTTGAGATACGTGAGGAGACTACATTCCCATTCGTCATATGACTTTCCGGTGAACACATCGACGGGGGTTTTGAGTTCCATGATTCAATACAATAAACGAGAGAAAAAGGTTTGAGTGATTAACCGAAGTTACTTGTAGCCACGAGATGTGATAAGTGGCAGGTTCTTCTCTTCAAGGTAGAATTTAACATCCTTTAAGAGGATTTTGTCGACGAGATTGGAGCAATCGTGAAGGTGCACGTTGAGCGTTTGCAGCAGGGAACGGGTATTAGAAATTTGCCGTCGGTCTGTGGACGCGAACTCCTTGATAAGAACGTCGTCGAAGTGGCGATTGATTCGTTTGACGCGGCTGATAGCGTCGGCAAGGTCTTGGCGAACTTTGTCTAGTTTCGATTCGGGCTTGACGCGTACGAAGACTTGCTCCAGTGGCGCGCTCAACTTAGCCTTGACTTGGCGTTTCTTGCGCAGGCGGTTGATATGGGATTTGCAGATGATCGCGTTGGCGGGGTTCCGCATAAAATGGCAAACTCTATTTGGAGTTTAGTGCCAAACCACAAATGAACTTCGGGGAAACACTGTTTACAGTCTTTCCCTGAAGGTACTTTCCTGTACCTCTCAAGAGGAGAACAGGTGAGCTGTAATGATAAACGAATGTGGGTCTTGAACGCTAGCTGTCTGGCGTCGGCTGAGGGCTCGTACAGCGGCGGGGGGCAGTCACGGGGCGGGGCGGCTCGGGTGACGAAAGGCTCGGGCGGCGGAATGCGTACGCGGAGGAGGCGCTGGCAGGAGCTCTTGGGCTCGTAACCAGTTGATGGAAAATTGGAAAGCGAGAATGTATTAGGAGTTAGGCTAGTGGATAAACTAGGTTCCTAAGTTCCTTTAAGATTACCGCGCTTGTTCTTCTCGAATCTGGTCTGAATAGCATCGTTAACATGTAGAAAGGGCAGATTTTAGATGACTAGATGCAGGTATGCAATATGATTCGTTGGCCAAATATTTATCCACCAGTTTGTCTCAACAAGCCAATGGTCGAATGATCCTCATCAAGTCTCCTGACGAATGCTCGCATACAGGTTCCATCGACTGGATTACAGGTCTACCTGTTTCCAATGGAAATGACTCAGTCATGACTTGTGTCGACATGGCATCGAAACCGCCCAAGTACTGCGCCACGACGTCGAACGTTGATGACACCAACCTGCAAAGGAGTTCATTGACACAGTTATCCGCAACCACGGTCTACCTGCTGTCATTATCAGCGATCGAAATCCAAAGTTCACTACCGTATTTGCTGCATTCCTGCACCTACGAAAATGTCGGCCAAAACGCCATATGGAAGATGCAGCTTTACAACAAAACGAAAACGAGTTCCCCACGACTAGTCGTCCTGGATTGGCCAAAATCACCTTGCAATTTAAATTTTGAAATGCCCTCCCGCCACATGTCACTTCATTTTTCCTTCCCTCGATGGCTCGAGAGCGCAAGATGAGACAGAAGTCCATCACGCTTTCCAAGAAACTCGTGGACATACAGAAGTAACTCAAAGGAGGCTTCACCTACTACTCCTTAGCAAAACAGTATGGCGTCCAAGGTAATCAAGTTCGTCGATGGGTCGCAAATCATGCCGCCATTAAGACAGCAGCCCACCGGTCTCCAACTGCAGCCACAATAAATCTGGGTCGTCCGGTGGAGAAAAATGACGTCGAGCAGCAAATACTGGAGTACTGCAACCACCTCCGACAAGACGACGTTGCGGTGAGCACAAAGATGGTCATCCTCAAGGCGCTGAGTCTCGACCCGGCATTTCATTCGGGATCATTGAAGGCCCTGACTTCGTGGGTCTACCAGTTTCTTCGACGGCACAACTTGAGCATTCGGCGGCCCACTCGCGTTGGACAGAAGATGTCGTCTT